GCATATCTTTCAGAATTCATATTTCATGCATCAACAAAATTGTAATGCTTTCAAATTTAGGAGTGTCAACTGTAATAATTAATTTAATATCTTAAATTTTATCAATAAAAGTTGTAGGAATTAATAGTGACATAATTAAAATCATTATTTAGAAGATATAGTTGGTACCTACAGATTGATTTTCTTTATTAGGATATTAATATTCATGAACAAATACCAATAGAAGTTTAAAGCAAGAAAAGGAAAATTGCATTCAATGCGGAACTTCTGCTAAGCGTCTTTTTAGAATTAATCCAATAAATTCGAAGCATTGATGGATGAAAGTTCAATTTTTTCAAGGAATGACGCCTATTCGTAGAGATAAAAGCTAGATACCATGAACTGTGGTCGCCTTAGTGAAATCGATTTCATTTTATTAACTCTGGTTTTGAAGGTTTGGGTGTTAATTGGCATCATAATCAAATTAAGAAGAAAATGAAAAACAAGGATAAAGCTGGACTTCTGATTACAAAATAAGGAACAAAATTGTTAAGAAATGGAGCGATGTCGTAAAATGTCGAACGTCAAATATCAGTTGTTAGAAACACACTTTGTACGTCTTTGGGCGCAAAAATGTTAAGCTTTAAAATGTAATTGTTCAATAAATTTGTATTACGAAATTGTTTTTATTTTTAATTTATTTTTTGATTTTGTACTTTTGGATTTCTTTATAAATTTTCAACAAGAGTACATGATTTTTATTCAAAATTCATTAAAAAATTCAAAATTATAGTACAAATAAATGTTTGGAGGGTGGCGTAAAATTTAGAAGGAATGAAGGTGTTACTTACCCATACCGTACGCCACTGGCAAAGTTTATTTAACTGATATTTTTGCTGAGTGATGTATCTTATGTCACCAAAAACGTTTGCTCAGTGCAATTTTATAAAAAAATCAAAATTTAAAAATTAAAAAATAAATTAAAATGAAGAATATCCACCTCTGAGAATGAATATTTTGAAAACCAATCATTTTATGAGTTCCCAACAAGAGTACATGATTTACTTAAAAAACAACAGAAAATGTAAAAGGATAGTCCAAATAAGTTTCTGGGGAGTGGCATAAAATTTAAAGGGGATGAAAGTGTTAATTTAAAGGAAGCTTTTAATAGGGACCTAATGATCTAATTAAATTTCTTAAAAAAAAAAATTATATTAAACGTTTTATTTGTATAAGAGGTGCATTTTTTCTCACTAGTTCGGAGAGTAGTATAAATCAGAAATTTTGAAATCGTAACACACCCTTCCTTCCCCGATAAAGTTTTTTTCTCTAAAAAAAAACTGTTAAAGAAATATAGAAGATCCAATGAAGGATAGAATACTCAATTAAAAAATTTCTATCATTATAAAAAATTGCTTACTTGCTATAAATATTAGAAAAAAAAAATCAATATATAAAAAAATCATGAAGCGCTCTCATCCAAATCCGGGGGATGTGCCTTTAAGTCTTTGGCATGTCAAACCCCAATGGATGTCTTATCATCATTGACGAGCTCATATGACCATGGTGATAGAATTTTACTTATTACAAGTGGTCCATCAAATTTCGGAGCCAATTTGGTTGTAATTTTCTTTGCCTTATCAGACAGTATGTGGTCTCTTCGCTACAATTTCTGACCAATACTAAGTATCGTCTCTCTTCACAGGACAAAACAGCGCAAAGACAAAATAGCGCAAAAGCAAAATAACCCAAGACAAAATAACGCAAGAGAAAATAGCGCAAGGGCAAAATAGCGCAAGGACAAAATGGGGCAGCACAAAATATTCCAGTATTCTAGTTAAAATAAAAAAAAACTTCAACTAATTTACCTAACCTTGGCCTGAAGCCATCGCATGTCTTTTTTGAATAAAAATTGACATAAAATTTGAAAAATAAAAAAATCTAAACTAATTTACTTAACCTGGGCAGTCTGTAGCCATATACAGCAACTCGCCTTGGCTCAAGGCCGCACATGTATTTTGTTCTTATGCTATTTTGTCCTTGCGCCAATTTGTCCTGCGCTATTTTGTCCTGCGCCACTTTGTCCTGCGCTTTTTACTTTCCTATCTGTATACAGATATAAGGAAAGTATAGGAATCATGATTTTTTTCGACCTCGAGGTTTCGACGGATTTTTACGTTTTGAGGTCCCCTAAATCCATTTTGACTATTTTCGCGATGATGTCTGTGTGCGTGTGCGTGTGCGTGTGCATGTGCGTGTGCCTGTGTGTGTCTGTGTGTCTGTGTGTCTGTGTGTCTGTGTGTCTGTGTGTCTGTGTGTCTGTGTGTCTGTGTGTCTGTGTGTCTGTGTGTCTGTGTGTCTGTGTGTCTGTGTGTCTGTGTGTCTGTGTGTCTGTGTGTCTGTGTGTCTGTGTGTCTGTGTGTCTGTGTGTCTGTGTGTCTGTGTGTCTGTGTGTCTGTGTGTCTGTGTGTCTGTGTGTCTGTGTGTCTGTGTGTCTGTGTGTCTGTGTGTCTGTGTGTCTGTGTGTCTGTGTGTCTGTGTGTCTGTGTGTCTGTGTGTCTGTGTGTCTGTGTGTCTGTGTGTCTGTGTGTCTGTGTGTCTGTGTGTCTGTGTGTCTGTGTGTCTGTGTGTCTGTGTGTCTGTGTGTCTGTGTGTCTGTGTGTCTGTGTGTCTGTGTGTCTGTGTGTCTGTGTGTCTGTGTGTCTGTGTGTCTGTGTGTCTGTGTGTCTGTGTGTCTGTGTGTCTGTGTGTCTGTGTGTCTGTGTGTCTGTGTGTCTGTGTGTCTGTGTGTCTGTGTGTCTGTGTGTCTGTGTGTCTGTGTGTCTGTGTGTCTGTGTGTCTGTGTGTCTGTGTGTCTGTGTGTCTGTGTGTCTGTGTGTCTGTGTGTCTGTGTGTCTGTGTGTCTGTGTGTCTGTGTGTCTGTGTGTCTGTGTGTCTGTGTGTCTGTGTGTCTGTGTGTCTGTGTGTCTGTGTGTCTGTGTGTCTGTGTGTCTGTGTGTGTCTGTGTGTCTGTGTGTCTGTGTGTCTGTGTGTCTGTGTGTCTGTGTGTCTGTGTATCTGTGTGTCTGTGTGTCTGTGTGTCTGTGTGTCTGTGTGTCTGTGTGTCTGTGTGTCTGTGTGTCTGTGTGTCTGTGTGTCTGTGTGTCTGTGTGTCTGTGTGTCTGTGTGTCTGTGTGTCTGTGTGTCTGTGTGTCTGTGTGTCTGTGTGTCTGTATGTCGCATAACTCATGAACCGATACACAGAAAAACACCAAATTTTTAACTTAAGGTTAATAAAAGTTACTTCCAATATAATTATCTATAATTTTTGTTCTATACAAAATTTTCCTAAAATGGTCCGTATTCGAGAAATTTGACAAAATGTAAAAAAAATAATTTTTTATAAAAATTGTTCAAATAAAAGTTGTTTGTAATATAATTCTCTATAATTTTTGTTCTACACATAATTTCTCTAAAATGGACCGTATTCGAGATATTTGAGAAAATGTGTAAATTTCGAATTTTGAAGAAAACTCAAAAACGGTAAGAGAAAAAAAACATTAAATTTTAAACTTAAGGTTTATTTCGGCCTGACGTGAAAAGATTAGATTTTGGACAAAGTCGGAACATCCGGGGGGGTACTTTATGGGAGGCCGTTTTTATATTTTATGGAATATATCTGTTATTTATGTTTGGAGAAGAAAATTGTTCAAATAAAAGTTACTTCTAATATTATTATCTATAATTTTTGCTTTATGTCAAAATTTCCTGAAATGGTCCGTATTCGAGAAATTTGACAAAATGTGCAAAATTCTGATTTTTATGAAAATTGTTGAACTAAAAGTTGTTTGCGATATCGATCTCTATAATTTTTGTTTATACATGATTTTTCTAAAATGGACCGAAATGGAAAAGTGCTAAATTTAAATTTTTCAGTATTTTCGTTTTCAATAAATATCTATAGAAAAATGTTTCGAGGTAGATGTATGTGGCCAATGTATATATTTAGTTTATTCTCTAAATATTTTTAGAGATGCTGCAATAGGTTGTACAAAATAAGCCTATAATAGTTAGATAGGAAAGTCATGTGTTGGACACATCAGATTTTTTGTCATGGAGCCAAAAAATATAGTATCTACTGTTTTTTTTTGTGTCATCGGCTTTAACTGCTAAGGTTATTTCACCTAGTGTTCTTTGTATGCTTTGTTACTGTTTCCCAGCGCCACTTTAGGAACAGCACTGTTAATTAGAACCCAACAGTGAATGGTCGAGTCGGGAATCCTACCAAGGCATCAGAATTAATTTTAAATAATTAAATTAAATGAAAAAATTTCGGCCAACGGTGGGATTCGAACTTGGGACCCTTAGATCCGCAAAAAGAGATTCTACCACTGAGCCACCCACCCCCTAGTATCTACTGTTATTGACAATACTGTAAATATTCTCGATAATCTCAATAACTGAATTACCCTACCGTAACCTATAAACGAAACAAAATTTCCAAATTAGAAAAACGTTTTAAATCCACAAATAAAGATGGCCACGCACAAAAAAATAATCTAAATTTATGTGGCAGAAAATGAAAACAAACAAGCAGTAACATTTTACTGATAACCGAAGAGCTGAAAGAAAAAGTAAAGAAATTGGAAGAAGAAAAGTTTAGTTCTGTAATACATCATACTGCATAAAGGACACCATAACGAAAAAATTATTCAAACCGATAAACTTTCAATCGAATTCTATATTCCACAATCTGCTACTGTGCGTAACCAGTAATGTCAATAATTATATTGATGAAACTGTAATGGTATTACTACTATTTTATAACATCTTGTTAATAACTATTATTTATCGTGGTTAATAAAGTAAACCATTGCTACTTTTCATGAGCTAATAATTAATTTTATTTATATATTTATCGACCGATCTTTTATCTAGTTAGATGCAACATTGACCTTCTCTTTTTCATTATGTTTTGATATACTATTTAAATCATAGCAAATAATACATCTTGCATATTTTGCGGAATTGTTAACCTTTCACTGAAGTGCCCTGTCGCTTCAAGACTATAAAAGAAATGGATTGTCTATTTCTTCATCACTTTCAGTCTTTAAACATTGTGGTCACTATTACTCCACATAATTAATAATGTATTTTCAAGTAAGTATTTATATTTTATTTTTGGTAACATTTAGTTTATATTTTTAGTGTACCTTTTTACGTATGGGTTAATTTAAAATATTTCAAAATAGGTAAATTTATTTTCGAAAATAAAAATATACTAATTAAGAAGTGATAACTCGGATGATTACTATTTTTTTAAAACAAAACAAACATATTTAAGAGAGTGTCTATGACGAAAAAATGTATTATTTTAAAATTATGAAGAACCGTTTTAAAATGTAAATTTATAATATTAGGATTAAAACTTTTCATTATTTAACCAAAATAAAGATTATCATTTTGTGATTTTTTGCAGATGTGAATATTATTTATTACTAAAATAAGTACAAATAATAATTATTTAGAAATAAATGATTAACATATTTCAAAAATGAAATTATTGTAAAGTAATCTTAAAAAGTTACGTTTAAATTTATTAAATAAACACCAGAAATGTGTAAAGTTTAATATAAAGTAAGAGTAAATTATTTATTATGTCTCGTTTAGATTATTGTTTCAATAATTACTTTTGAAAAACTGCTTTTCTTCATTAAACTGAATTGAAATAACACAAAACTCATACCCATACTCATACTGAAAGTAAATATTAATAATATATATTTAATCTTGGCGAAATTGACTCTTATTCCATTTCGATAGTATGATTAATTTAATTGTTATTATTTCTTATAAATAATATTATTGTCTACCAGTATTACATTTCACATATCCATTTTGTTCGTTCTGTTCAAATACATAATTTCCGGACTATTATATTATTGATTTGCGGCACTTGCTAAAGGCTCGTATCACGAACGTCTGCGCTCGTGGGAAAAGTATTGCTTTGTGCATTTCTTGGACAAATAACTATTTTATTTCTAAAATATTGTTATGTATCACATACAGTGTGTCCGAAATGCGAGTAAGTCGCCTATTAACAGTTGTGTGGTATTAGTTATTTCAAAAAAATAAAAATTACGATTTTGGCGGCTTAAGAGGAAAATTTACATTACAAACAGAAAGACCTGCGGGACAACGGTAGTTTAGTAGGTATAAAAATTACAACTTAAGGGTGGAGTCTAAATCCTACAAAATTACTTCCGAAACTAAACAAAATCAGCATTCATTCATCATTTTAACAATTGTATGTAGATACGAGGGATACATATTCTAAACTCTTAACGCGCGAAGTTGAAACAAAGGAACCGAAAAATATTCCACAATAGCACTAAATATATGTATTTTACAATAATTGATTGTCTGAGAGTAGAAAAGTCTCCATAGTTTAGCAATACATTCGCTGTACCACCGATGACCTCGATTCCAAAATCCAAAATAACAAATACAGGCCAATATAAACGAAGAAAAAACGGTCTCTTGACATTTTACATTTTTAAATAAATTAGGTTTTTAAAAAATATTTTCTATACTCAAGCGGATTTTTAATAATTAAACTTGGGGTAGCCATGAGTGAGTTAGTTAAATTAAAAGTTACTTTGGTTTTATAATATGTAACGATCAGATATAATGTTTCAGAATATTATTATTTATATTTAAAAAAAATATATTTTTGTTGTTTGAATATTCTGTTATAATGAACCACCTAGGTACAGCTTCTGGGACAAATTCATAAAAACCCGTATTTTACTATGGTTATCAGCAGCCGAGTTGTAAGTTGTACAGTTGAAAAAATTTATCCATTTGGGCAAAAATTACAAATGAATTAAAAAAAAAGTGATAGGTAATAAGTTTTTTTTTAATCTCACAATGTCTGGTATAAGAAGTTATATAGGGAAAGTTAGTATTCAATATCATCTAGACAAAAAACAAAAACATGTCTAAATGAATATATTAAATAAAATATGACCATTCTTTAATAGAGATATGGGTGATTCTCGCCTAACTGTGATTTTTTATGTCCAGTGTTTTATTTATCGTTTAGCATAAGTTTTCCTCATCAAAAAGTTAATAATATTATAAATTTAGAGGTATTTTACAACCGACATTATAAATTAGATCATAAACCTTCGAAATTTTTTTTAAGCTGCATATAAATATACTCGAAATGTCAGTACCGTGGCATGTCCGATTCTCATTTTTAAAATTAAATATATAAATTTCTATCAAAATTCATTTTTTAATATAACATTTACCTCTTATAACTACAATCTAATGCATATTGCATTGAATTTTATTGCAATTTTATACCAATCTTTGGATTGGTAAAAAAAATATTCATTTATATGTCATATAAATAGAAAACAAAAACGCGTAAAACATACGTTTTGAAACATTTTTAATTTTAGAAAAATGTAAGTTGTAAAAATCACAGTTAGGCGAGAATCACCCAAATATTTATTTGTTTTATGAAATTAATGTTTGTCAACAAACTTATGTTCAGTATATGTAACAATTTGCAAAAATAACTCTTGTATAATGATAATATTAATACTTAAAGGTTTTAAATAAGGACTTGAAGATAACACAGTTCGAAATTCCTTTTATTGACCACAATACTTTTTCTTTGGAATGAAAGCATTGGTTCCATAGCCCCATAAATCAATTCATATTTTAATCTGAACGGTACTTAAGCGCAGTAAAGTTGCAACAACTAAACAATATAATTAACTTTAAAAATGAAATTCAATTTATATTTAGAATTAAATAAATTAACTAACATTTTTGACCGTATGAAGTTATTAAAGTTATAAATAATTACGTTAAAAAGATTCATATGTGAATTTTTAATTTCTATTGATGTGATAGTTATTCATCTGCGTTTTACAATATCAATACATGGTTTGACTTTGGCATAAAACCCTTTGTAGTAAAACTGCTAATTCGAATCAGAAACTCGATATTATTATTTGTGAACTTAAAAACGTGATTCACTAGTTAAAATATTTGGTTTAATAATTAATTAAATATCATCAATTGCCACCGCCACTGGTAAAATGTAAAATTTAAAAAACGTATTATAATAATAAGACATTAATCATGTTTTAAATGGATCAAGTATGTTTTAGAAATAAATAAATCTGCAGAATACATTTTATATACATTTCGTAGGGACGAAAATATGCAAGACAGGGAACTTCAATCTTTAACTCTATTTAGAAGACAAAAAATTGAAGCGTTTATTTGAAAAACAACACATGTCCAAAAATAAACTTTTTGGGAAATCAAGAAAAACTACTTACCTTCTTACAGTTTAAGTACGCATTTTTTAATATTTATTTTAGTTGAAAATACAAAACACCAAAAATATGAAAAAAATTACGAATATTGGAAAAGTAACACATGTCCTTATATAAAAAAACACTTTTTTTATTCTCCACCGCTGCTGTTATCGTCACTAATGATTTCAATATCTAAAGATTTTTTCCCTCCATCTATTTGTGGGTTCAGGTTAAGGTAACATTCTTTATTAAGAGGATTCTTAAGATATTTAGTGAGTTCCATTAAGTCTCGAAACTTCACATTGCTTTTTTGAGGTTGCCGTTTGTTTGGTATTAGAGCTATTTCTTGTGAGTTTCTTTTCCCTGCAATGGTATGAAACGTCCAAGGACAAGGATATAAGAGTGTCCTCGAACTGGGAAGACGTGTGTTATCTCAGAGGCTATTTTTAGAACGTGCACAAATATGTACACGAAACGAATGAAAACGAAGTTTTTCTTTTAGCCTGGACAACCATTAGAGAAGAGCCAGATTTCTTTCTTGAATATGATTTTTGATATAGTGAAATTAATAAACATATTCCAAATAATTTAAGATTCCTTGCGTCATGTCTCTGCTGAGAACTAGTTCTGATAAGGCATATTGCATATAAAAATTTTGCATTTTATTTTGCATCTTTTTCTTCCCAGAAGCTCTCATTATGAGGATCCAAACGGACAAAATGCAAAACTCCATTTGTGTAATGTGCAGCTAGTCCTGAATTTGAAAATACCAATTGTGGTTCTCCTTAATGGTATTGTCCTTTTTCCAAATAGTATATTACATTACGAGTGTGGAAAATCACTTTTCACACAAGTGATGTACAATATTTTTCCTACGACCACAAAATAATGTCATCAAAAAAATGTAAAACCAAGGTTATTACTATAATAATTAAAATGTATTTAAAAAAATAATCAACAATAATCGTATTTATTCAATTTTCATATTTTCTAAACAAAAAAAAACTAAAAAAATAATAAGAAAAACAAAAAAAAAATTCTGCCCCGCCAGGATTCGAACGCGGTCGAAAAATGGCAAAGTTGATAAGTTCGACGTCCTAACCACCTGAGCTAATAGCCCTTGTGTCAATTGAATGATCTAATCGGTTATGTATTTAACCAAAATAAAGAGCAAACATTATTTTAATAATAATTGTTAAAGATAAATATCTAGGATCTAATTTACAACGATTTCAATAATTTAACAATAATATCGATTTTAGTATTAATATGGACATTACATAGATCAAAATAGAAACTAGGTGTTTGACATTTTGTGACAACTACTGCGGAAAGTAACTTATTCACACTCGGGTGGAAAGTAAATTCTTATTCATACGCGTGTGATATAGGGCACTTTCCATAGGACTATAAAGTGTGATATGTGTCACTTTCCTAAGTGGTCGTAGGAAAAATTACTTTAACAGGTTAAAGAGTTGTTAACATGCTTCCATTAATTATTCTTAACTCGAAGATATATTCATTAAAAAAAAACTCCCGTGCAATATAAAATTTATAATTCACATCTCACTGTATACCTTCTAATTTCGAATATAGTTTTTTAATAAATAAATTATAAAATTAATTTAAAATAATTAAGCGAAATTACTGTATGTAAAAAATAACAAAGTGTACAGACATAAAACAAAATAAATTCAAATCACTTGCGTACTGTTTACCACTTGTAAATAGTAGAAAAGGATATATATTTTGTTGATGTCACCCTCTAGACGAAAAAGCTTTTAAAGTAAAAATAAAAAATAATCCGTAAAATTGGTATATTATGAAACCCTTGCATATTACATAATACGTCGATCTGAGTATTACAGAAATGATTTACGTAAACAATAAGATGTACAAATATGTAAAATTTATTTATCCCTCATATAAACTCAGTAAAATATAAATTGTTTTAATTCATAAATAGTAATTTCTTAAAAATCTAACAGAGGCGCCACTTTCCAGACGAAAAATCTTGCAATGTAAGGGTTTCGTAGTACCCCACTTTTAAAGTTTATTTTTGACTATTTTAAAAAGAAACAAATATGTACGTGTAGGTAAAGGTTAAATCTATGCTTTTCTGGAATCACTTTTTCAAAATACAATTTAGTTTTTTTTTTTTTTAATTTAAAAAATGGGTAAAAAAAAGTCGAGTTTTTATATTTTTTGTTTTTTTTTTAGAAAAAACTGTTTCAAATTTTGAAAACGTGTCTCTAGAGGAGCATAGATTTAACCTTTACCTACACGCACATATTTTTTTCTTTCAGAATAAGTCAAAAATAAATTTTAAAAGTGGGGTACTACGAAACCCTTGCATGCTCTGATCTAAAGCCAAGTAAATACTCCTCTTAATAGTTAATTTCACATATTTCATTCTTAAGATACTTTTTAATGCAGAACATGTTTGTTAAAAAAAGTTACCTACCGTTACTATATTCATTTTTTCTACACCCGTATTATAATAATGCACTTATATGCCCATAATCCGTTTCATAATGATACCCATTATGATACAGATTTTTCATTATGATACAGATTTTTAATCAATAGAAACCTACAATTTTTCAATCAAGCATGATGTTTGACGTTTGTCCTAAATTCCTATGTAATTGTTTTAGTTGTCAAAACGTATTAAATTTTCGTAGATAGCTAAACTTCGATAATTATAATATTAAAATGTCTGATATCAGCGATATAGAAGACTCCTCCACACATATCGGAGAAAGAAGAAAATGCAGTACAAAATATTTTGCCCCAAAAATCTGTGGTAATACCAATACCCAAGTTAATACCATTAATTACAATTTTGTAGAATTTTTTATAGAAATACGAGTAATTACTGTTATTGTGTTCAATGCCAATATAAATAGAATATTTATAGGTCTTGATTATTTATCGGGTGTAGAAAAAATAGCGTATGCAACTCTCATGTAATGGTTATTAAAACACTCGCATAAACCATACGAAACTCGCCTTTGGCTCGTTTCGTATCCCGGTTAATGCTCGTGTATTAATAACCATCATTACATGATCGTTGCATAATATACTATTTAGCCGTAGAATATGATGAAATAATAAAATAGGTATGTATCCATTTAAAAAATTTAAAATATTGGTGTTTTAACATCATGCACTAGTTGTAGCAGTTATTCATCATAATTCAATTAAAAATCTTTAGTCAAAAATAAATATTATTTTAAAATTATTTAAAAATTATCCACACAGTTTATTAAACAAAGTAACCCTAAAATATCATGTATTTTATGTTTCGTATACCGGAATCCGGAATAAAAATAGGGATGTTCCATTTAAAATAAGAAAGTTGACATCTACTTCCGGTATAAGCGGAAATTACAAAATTGTCAAAATATTTTAGATTGATTAATTATAACCTGGTTGCTATTCATACCAATTTTTAACGAAATTCGTTTACTAATGTGTCAGATATAGATAGTGGACAGCCTGTATAAACCGATAAACTGACACCTTCAGATTATATTTTGGTAAAAAAACCTTTTCCACTTCCATGCGCTTCTCTAGAAACTCTAAATGGTAAATAAAAGAGAATGGGAAATTCACTGTATAATTAAAAGCAATTAGTGAGGTATAAAGACCTATTTAGAAATTCACGTTACAGAACAGTAATATTAGCAGAGTAGTTTATGCAAAAAAACTGAATCAACTTTCGCATTAAAAGAAGAATTCGACTGTTATTAATAGTTACAGAATATTAATTTCAATCTGATTACTTTCATTGAGTGTATAAAAACCGAGTAAAAGTGATTGGAGCTATTTTACGTCCTTATATTTCTTTGCTTGCTTTCGAACATAATAAGGCTATTTTTTGTGTTGTTTTTTTACTAATGAACCGTTATATCAAGATTACTTCGACAAAACTTAATAAAACATCAACTTTTATTGGACTTTGGAATAATTGATTCATTTTAATAGATATTCCATTAAGAAAGTAATTGGTGCACTTAAAAATGTTTCCGTTTTAAATGGACAAGGCGGGTTTTTCTAGCTATTATTTAAATTAATTTATATTTTCAAGTAACCGTTTCAAACAAAAGAAACTAATGGCACTGAAAAGATAAAATTTTTCTAAACGTTTCCCAAATGGAAGAGCAAATTAGTTTTTGACAACTAATTAAAGATCACATTCCTACAAAATATACAATCGAGTTAAAGTTAAATAATGTTAGAATAGTAGTTTGTGCAACAAGAGTGGATATGATGGCCAAATCGCACCAAGATGAAATTTGAGCACGACGCCTAGGTGGAGTGCTCAATCGTCTGAGTACGATGTGTACAATCTACTCGAGTTGTACAGTATATTTTTTCTACGACCCACTAACGAAAATTTACAAATAAAAAAAATATTTTAGGTTATTAAGACAAAATAACTAAGTTTAAAATAATTTATGTTTTAATAATTTTTAAAATAAAATAACCGAAAAAAAAAATTTAATTTCATTCATTCTTCAATGTGGAAGGCAAGAACGCTAACACAGGGACACCTATTCTTTTATTTTGGTTGCTTTATTACTCGTAATTGAATTGACTTCATATAGTTTTATTTAAATTAACAAATTATTTATAATTATAGACGAAATAAAAACAGAAATGCTATTATTTATCGATTCTACACAAGAATAACTCATTTTAATGTATGTTTAATCTCAATAACTAAAAAATATACTGACACTTAGTTTGACAGAATTGTCACTTATTTAAAATTTTAAAAGTAATAGCAGTCGGTTATCAAAATATGAACGGTGATTGGTGGATTTAATTTTTTGCGGGATTCTCACTATCTAGAATGGATATGAAATATATTCGTTCAGTTAAAGGCAATAGCATACTTTTTTTTCGTTTTGAAATCTGTGCGTAGATAAGCTAATATCCATGTGGGTGTAGAAAAAAATTATATTTTTTATAACCTAAAGAACATTTTAGGTAAACTGTACAACAGGCGCGGATCATCTCAGAAGATTTTTCGGGGAGAGGGGGTAAATAATTTTATTCGTCGCCGGCATCTTGTATTTTACTTTCTCATAATTACAATTTAATATATTCCAGCGTTTCGTCGAGCAGCTCAGGTGGTAGGCGGTGATTACCGTATTACCCCCTTGTACTCGCGATAGCTGTACAATAAAATAATAGGTAGATTTATAGGTACATTTTTACTTTTCTATCTATATACAAATAAGGAGAGTATAGGAAACATGATTTTTTTCGATTTCGAGTTTTCGACGGATTTTTACGTTTTGGGCTCCCCTAAATAAAACCTAAAACTTCCTGTAGTTGCCCATTAGCGGTTGTCACTCTGAGTGATTCATCCAACTTAATATTTAAGTGCTTACCATAAAGCTGTTCTATCCCGATAGAACCTAATAAAGAAATATTCGAACAAGTGTCTAATAATACCTGGAATTCAATATCAAAAATCTTAACATCCAAATATGGCCTATTATCTTTATTCTTCCTATACAAAAGTGAACCTATATCTGAAACCTTACCAATTTTATAACGTTTACTTTTTTCAACCAATTTTCCCAATCTACTTTACAAAAATTTTGCAACAAAATTTTTAATGTTTATTTACCAAGCCTTTCTTCCCTGAGATAAAAGGTAGAACCAACGATAGCCGCATTAAGGCGAAACCTTTTGCAGCTAACACTGAGAAGCATTGCCCATTTAAATGATTGAGCAGCTGTTAAAATAACCAAGATACAATGTATGCAGCACCGTTTATTGTATAAACATTTTCAATACACGTAGAGAATATCAACCATCATTACTAGTTTTTTTTACTGTATTTATTGTATTAAAATACTCCCTTTTATTCTAGAAGCAGACATTCTGTTTACTCCTAATCCTGAAAATGACTATTGCCACCATCGGAGATTCTGGACCCGAAGACCATGGAGAAAGTCATGGATGGGAAGATTTTAAGCCATCAACATACGAATACACATATGAGGGACCGCATAAAATAGAACAAACGAAACCAGTAAATATAGAGGTGATCAAGAAGACAGGAGTACCACAACCTCACCCAGTCAAAATTCCTGTACCGCAAGTGATAAAAGTTCCCGTTCCACAACCGTACCCTGTTCAAGTATCTGTACCACATCCCGTAGCCGTTCCAATTTATAAGTTGGTACCTCAAGAAATCGAAAAGAAGATCCCAATTCACGTTAATAAGTTGGTACCAGTTTACATTAAGAAACCTTATCAAGTTATTATGGAAAAACATTATCCTGTATATGTTGACAAACCGTATCCCGTACACGTACCTGTTTACAAACATGTGTATCAAGAAGCCAAAAAGAGCCATAGTGGATTCGACAAACACCACCACCACCACCATTAGGTTCTTGATGAACGTTGTTGTTATGAATATGTGATCTTTTTTTTTGTTGATGTTTTTATTTTTGTTGTTTTATTTGTTTTTATAAAAAGTTTAAAACTATTTGTTTCTGATACTTTCATAATATTCTACAGATTACCTTTATTTCTGCGTAAGTTTAAGTAAAAATATGGAATAACTACCAAAGAAGCTAATCTAAATGGACGATTCGTGGACAAAATTTCTATGCGCATGACCGAAAACGACATGTTTTCTGAGTATTTCAGTCTCAGATATACAATATAAACATATTTAATACAATAATTGACAGTATCATTATATTATATGTTTTCTTCGCTATGTATATTTTATACAATTAATATTTATTTTATTGATTTATTTAATGAGAATTGCAAACGAGAATGCTATAATCATTGCCATATATTTGGTTTAAAACTAAAGTATTAAATAACGCTTTATTATATAGGGTAAAGTCGGTGGCTGTAAAGCTTTGGTAGGGGTTAGGCTTACATTATATTTTTCTAGTAGCTACTCAACTTTTGTGACAACAGGTAAATAAGTGATTACGGTGAAAATACTTTTAATGTTTTTTTAATTACGTATAAAAAAAGATGCAATTGACCATCTATCCCCATTGAGTTGACTAATGTATTAAGGGAGAGATGGACACAAAATATAAATGACAGTAAAATAGTGAAACATAAATATAACAAACTTTATAAGAACAAAATACATTATGACTTAACATATAGCTATTTTACTTCTTTTTAAACGCATTTTTACCACAGTTTTGGCAAGTGTTTATAAAAGAAGAACAATTTTCATGAAACCACATCTGGCATATCATACATATCACTGAAAGGATGTCACTGTCTTCCTCAAATTGGGCTTCTTCATTGTCCTTCTCATCAGAACGTGGCGAAGGTGAGAGGTTCTCTTTTTCGGCCAATTGCTTTTTCTGCCATTTTCTTCTCCGGGATGTTAGTTTTTGTTTGTTTGGATTTCTGTGCGGATCTATTTTTTACAGTTTCAATGTGCTCAGGGGAGGTTAATAGAGTAGCAACGGTTTTTGCTCGTTTTTTGCAGAGAATACTAGTTTGGATGTGGGGTTAATCTGGTCTAAAAGTTTTCCAGGTGTCAAATCTGGAACAGGGATAACTTCCACTGGAATTGTACATCGAGGTTCTGTATATGCATGGCTACAGGATGGTATTGGGTCCATCAGAGTAATCGTAATTTGACTTTTGGGTGATTGGGCAGTTACTTTTTGTGTCGGTTCAACGTTCTTTGCTGTAGAGTTTGTATTTTGAATGTTCCTTATTTGTGGGAGTATTCTCATGTCTTCCTTTGTTTCGGTGTTTATTATCTGATCAGAAACTGCATCAGCACTATCGAGTGTGCAATCAAGATTCCAGGAAATATTCCAGTGGCTCTGAAGCCATTGCATTTCCAGCGGTCGCTGCCTTTCTCCAGCTTTTCGCCAGAAGTCCACCAAACTAGATTCGCCCTAGTTTTCTTCCGGGATGACCTCTGCAAGTCTGATAGAAGACGGTTTTTAATGACTTTAAAAAGGCCCTATCTAATGGTTGCGGAGGCAGGCAGGTACAACAAAATAACATCATTTGCTTCAGCTGTTTCTAAGAGTTCAACACAAGAACAATGATATGAATGCCCCCCGTCCAGAATTAACAAGGCCTTTCCTTCATTTTTACGTCGTAGCAAATGATTTGTAAACCAATTTAAAAATATTGTTGATGTTACATAGGCTGATTTCTGAGACATGACAATATTTGCACCAAGTAGCATGGAATCAGTCCATTCGGTCTTTAGGTTTTTGTCCTTAAACACGCATACAGCATACATGAAACTGTCTCACCTTTTTCCCCTGATGTCACTGTGACAACATCTTTTGCTAAAACATGACCAGGTCGATTGTTTCGTCGACATTATAGATGGACCCAGGTTTATTAAGGAGCTCATTTTTTTCCAGTATAGTTTGCAGAAGTTTAAAATAATTACCTACGTCTACACGGTTCATGCCCTCACCTCGTCCTAGGGACACACCCTCAGCTTTCCAAATAGATAAGTCGGAATGTCTTCTGAAGAACCAATCAGAACCAGCAATTCTTTATTAAACTTATGATTAATTTGTAGATTTTCAGCGAAATTATAGGCAAGCTTCCATCATAGGAAAACCGCATTTTTGTGCCTTCTTAATATGTAGCACTAATTTCTTTTCATTGGCATCCCCCAACATGCTGTACGGTCCAATTCTACTAGTTGTGGACACATTATTTTTTATCTTCCTTTCAAGATTTTTTCTCGGAATGCTATAATTTTCTGAAAGCTCCATTTACTTTTAACATCTTCAATAGCTAGCCTCAGATTTTCCTCTGTATAGTTTCCACTATTTGAGTTATGTCTTTTATACTCTTTTGGCATTTTTCAGCAGTAAATTGTTCACCTGTAACAAAACAGACGTGAAAAAGAGGTGGCCATCTATCCCTACCATTTGATGGCTATCTGTACCTACTCGTAGGGATAGATGGCCACCACGACTAGCAACACCCATTGAATACTCCTTACTGTTTTTAGAGGTTAGGATTTCTAAATAAACATCAAACTTACTTAATTTGTAGAAACAAGTAATACATTTCTACCCACAGATTCATAGGAGCACGTAGTGTGCAATTATTATAATATTATACCACTACACAAAATTGTTTTTATTCACTGAATGCTTTATTATTAGCCTGATACAGACAAAATCACTCTACGCGTGAGAAGACGTCAATGTTTATTACCTGAGCGGACAGGCAGCGCTATCTAACATCGCATTAATACAGTTTTGGCTTCTGGCTATCTCTACCGATTGGACATCTCACCCGACTTTATCCTAAATAAAAAAACAAATCTATAGGATCCATGTATTAAATATGCATTTATGATAAACAATGACCAGATAAAAATGAATGTGGAAGACAATAAAAAAAAGTAATTAAATACGTAAACGAGACATACCAATGGCACTCATTTGAAGACAAAGAATATCTTTAAAAGTGATGACAAGAAGACTTGTAAGTCAGAAAGTGGAAGAACATAGGGTTATATTTTAGATTTGACTTAATTAGGATTGTGGGCCATGTGTCCTCCCCTACCCTCGATCTTTTCAGATCTATTGTGAATATACTTTAACCGTTTTGTAGAGTATCTTGTGGGGTCGGTGGTGTAGCGGTCTAACGCGCTTATATTCATTTATAAGCAAGTTTATGTGTCAGAGACTGCTGGGCTTCGAATCCCAGACCAGACCATGTGGATTTTTAATCAAATTGCATGGTTCGGTATAGGATTTGATGTGTGCCGTATTAATAGAAATTCAATTTCTGTTGATATGACATGCAGATTATAAAAATCGCCATACATTACCGTCTCGAAGATGGTGGGTGAGGTTTTCCTCAGCTGTAAGTCAAATGGCACCATCAATCATCTTTAAGTCGCCCCGGAGTGCCACGGCAAATAATAATAATAGCCGTCCCTTTCCTCGCACAAGCTCAGCTTTTGGGGTTAAAATTCACTCGTAAGGGAGTGAATTAGGGAGAGTATTATTATTATTATTATTGTCTAAATCGGTTTTTTGTAGTAGACTACATAGACTAGGAAGTAGTTCTCCAGCGTTGCTAGTTGCCCTTAGTTTTTATTGTCCAAGTGTACGGAATATCAGTCCTAATAAACCTTCGCAGTAGCACAAACGTGTTCTGCAATTAGCTCCTCTTTCTGACAGAATCAGCACAAGGTCTCTTCTGTCACACCAATATTATATATGTTTGTTAAGCCTACAATGTTAATAGACCTACTAGTACTCTAGTATTTTTGGTGTCCCTACGTTAATTTTACTGATTTGAAGGAAGGAGACTATGTACTGGCAGAGTTCAAGGGTTGCAAAAGAAACACCACAATCTTCAGATATCTGTATGTTATTCAGAAATTAACTTTACCACAGTCTATAATTATTATGGGATATAAAAGCACAGACTGCTCAAAAAAAAGAGTTTGTGGTAAATGATAAAGACGCTTCTGAAATAAATTTAAATCAAATTGTTAGTATACTTGACCCGCCTCAACTACTAGTACGTGGAGAAAGGTTAAGTTATGCATTTGAAAAACCAATAAATGTTACTTCTTAAATTAAAAGTGCTTTTACATATTTTTTATTGCAGATCTTTGATTTTTATAGAATTATCAAAAATCTGGGCGTCCATTATTGAAAAAAAACTGTGTTCACTATTAGATAAAATCCAATTTGGTGTGTCCTAGAGAGGAATTTATTTTTTATTTTTTTTTATAATATTGGTTGATTATTTTTTTGTTTAGCATCATTTAATACAATTAAAGAAGTCCAAAAATAGGCTCTTTTATGTGATATTGGGAGTATTATAACTTTCTGTCTATAACAAGTCAGAAACACGTAATTATTTTCTTAACATGTCCACTACTAGCACCTTTACCTTAACTGTACCTTAAATGGTTTAATTCAGTGGTCGCCAACCTCTCAATGTGTTGAGCTACTTTGTTAATTTTGGAATAAACAGCGAGCTACCCACACGGAAGCCACGTAACGCAACGTAAATGAAATAATCCACAGTTAATTTATTATTATATGTATTTATTTTACTATTTAACTGGTAATACATAATACATAGGTACTAATAATAAACTAATAACAAAATAACTGATATTACTAGTACGTACTTGTTCATAGCTACATTCCTACCTACCAAACGAAGGTGTTTGAAAAATAAACACAAACTTTTATCCAGCCACAACGGCATGTCACGTAAGATTTAAAAATAGTTAATAATAACAACAAAAAAGTAACGCACTATCATGAACATAAACATTGAAAAATAAAAAAGCACGTTCAATGAGAAGGCTGATACTCAGACTCATCGATAATTTTTTTAATGTTTGCAGTATAATTTAATACAGCCATTCGAATACAATTATCCAAATGTTCATCTGTAAGTCGATTGTGATATTTGTTCTTAATAAACTTTA